CATTCCCACTTTCTGGAATATGCTTCCACAAGATCTTTGGATGACTAGGTTTTCCTCGTCATTCAGTTCTCAAATGTCACTTCTTCTGCCAGGCCAGCCTACGCCATCTAAAGTAGCCTCAGTCCTAAGTCACTCAACAGTGTCAGTGACTGAAAAAAATAAACAAATGAACCCTCACAAGAACCCTATGAGATAGTTACTGTGATCACCCGCTTCTTACTGGTAAGGAAACTGAAGCTCAGAGTAGTTAGGAGTTTATCCCAGGTCACAACACAAGTGGTGGAGCTGGGATGTGAACTCAAATCCGTCTGAATCCAGAGAGCTCCCTCTTACATGCCTGAGCAGTAATGCCCCATCGCTAATGGAATCCTCTCTTTCCTACCAGCACGGCATCTCCTGAAGGGGTCTGCCCTCCGGCCTCTGCCATAATCATCCTTGTATTGGACAATCGCAACAGCCTCTTCTCCAGCCTTTCTGCCCCATCTGTGTTCCCGGTCAGACTCTGTTTGCAGCCCAGGGATCAAGATGATCCCATACTCCTTAGCAAGGGCCCACAATGCTCTTCGCAACCAGCCACCATCCTATCTTCCGAGCCTCCTCCCAATCATTCCTTCAATCAAAAATATCGAAAGCTGCCGGGCGCGGTGGCTCACGCCTGTAATCCTAGTTCTCTGGGAGGCCGAGGCGGGCGGATTGTTTGAGCTCAGGAGTTCGAAACCAGCCTGAGCAAGAGCGAGACCCTGTCTCTACTAAAAATAGAAAGAAATTAACTGGACAACTAAAAACATATAGAGAAATTAGCCGGGCATGGTGGCGCATGCCTGTAGTCCCAGCTACTCGGGAGGCTGAGGCAGTAGGATCGATTGAGCCCAGGAGTTTGAGGTTGCTGTGAGCTAGGCTGACGCCACGGCACTCTAGCTCGGGCAACAGAGTGAGACTCCGTTTCAAAAAAAAAAAGAAAAAGAAAATGGAGCAGGGTAAGAGGGATCAGAGTTTGAGGGGAGGGGCTATTAAACACCATAGTCAGCATGGGCCTCCCTGAATAGATGACATCTGAGCAAAGACTTGAACCTTCCCTTTTATAAGCCATGCCTCTGCACGAACCATTTCCTCTGCCTACGATGTCTTTCCACCGCATTTACGCAAGCCTTGGACCAACTCAGATTTTACCTCCTTTCTCAAATCTTTCCCAGTATCTCCAACCTGTGTCATTCCTCCTTCTGTAAGATCTCTGCTGTACCACTCACACCTCCTACTCACAGTAAGTATGGGTTTATGGAGCTGGATATCCCTTCTGGACAGTAAGTCCTTAAAGGCAAGAATCCTGTCTCATGCTTATGTCACCAGTGCCTAGCTTGGTGCTGTGCACGTGGTAGATAATTAATGAGTGTCTACTGACTCAATGCAGGAGCAGGACGTTTAGGGCTGGCTCTAAAAGCTTGCTCTGGGTCTTCATGGCATTGGAAAATGATGGAAGTGATCTGATTGGAACACTGGGCTCTCCTGGTGGCTAGTGGCTCACCTGTTTGATGATATATGTTAGCTCCTCAATTTCCACTGCTTTATCATCAAAGAGGGACTTGCGCTTTGCCACTATAGAGATAAATGAGAAGCCACGACAGGCGAGGTTAAAGACAAGGCTCAGGGAATTTGACTCTCAATCCTCTTTGGTTCACCGTCCCACCTCTGAAAGACCCCAAGAACACTCACAGATTGTCAGCTTCTCCAGTTTGGCAAATGTGTTGCTGAGGTCTTTCCCAATACGCCTGCAAATGATCATTAGTGAGAACACCGTGAGAAAAGGTAGGAGAGGACCTTTTCCTACGTTAGCTCCAGCACAACCAATCCCAGTCCTCACAGCCACCAGAGCCAAGTCTACTTCTCAGACAGTATATCACCCCACCACAAAGCTTCTCCCAACTCACTTGGCCATGACGGTGAATTCACTGCGCTGTCGGACAGCACGCAGAGCCGGCTTATTTGTCTGGATTCCATTCTGAAAAGCAATGACTAGAGGTGACAACTTTAGTTCCCCCTGACTCCCACCACCCACCCATTTCCAGCTTTCACCCTTCCTCAGGTGTCCTCTAAACTCTTTCTCTAGTACTGGTAGCATCCACCACCAGACAGCTAGATTTATCAGTGGTAGCAGTTTAGAGCCCCGATTCAAAGACAGAACTGGGTTCAAATCTTGACTCTACCACTTACTACCTGGAAGATTTGGGGCAAGTTACTTAAATCATTCTGTATCTCTATGTCCTCTCCTACAAAATGAACACAGTCCACCAACCTCCTATTGCTGTTGCTAAGATTAAATAACATAAGAGCTGAAAAGTACTTTAGCCAACTACCTCATATGTTGTAAACACTAAATAAACAACAGGTAGTATTACCACTCTCTTTCTTGAATCAGGGAATCAGAGAATAGCTGGAAAGCTCTTGGAGATCATATTGAAGAGCAGTTGTTAACAAGAGCTGAACAGTACAAATATTTTAAAATACAGTTACTTGGGTCCCACTTAAATTCGAGAAGTCTGGACTGAAACAAGAGAATCTACTTTTTAAAAAAAGCACTCCAAAGCGATTTTGATATAAATTACTGATCTAGAAAACTTTCTTCATTTTACAGATAAGAAAACTGAGACCCAACTAGATTAACTAACTTCCCATGGTCACAGAGCAAACTTGTGGTAGAACTATACTGAACTAGAATTCAAGATGCAAGTCTCTCAGCTAAAGGCTCTTTCTAGAACTTGTTCCTTATTCAAACCAAATACATTGCAGCTACCTCTGGCCCTGAGGTATTCCTTCCAGAATTGCAATCCTGCCCTCCAGGGGATTCCTCACAAAAAAGTCTAGGACAGGTCCTATCCTCTCCTTAGCTAGCCCACGTCTCCTTTGTTTGTTGCTTAGTAGACCCTCCGGGGTCCATCCAAACGTATCGGTTCCACCAGGTTTCCCCAATAATTACTGCAGTTAACACTGCTGGAGCACAACCCTTTCCAGATTTGAGTAAGGCTCGCTCCTGGCCTTTTCCACTCCAAGTCCTTACCTGACGGCTCTGCAGCGACTTGCAGGCAGACAGGAACTCCTGGGTCCGATCCCGGCAGGACATGGTGTCCGGAGGGGGAGGGACCAGGGCCACTGAGGGGGGCAGAGGGGCGATGTCGCTGCTGCTACTGCCAGCAGTTGTAGGGGACAGGATCTGTGTCTTTGAGAGACCCAGGTAGACACCCTGATCCGTGTTCTTAGACCCGTAGCGTTTCCGCGGGATCATTGAGACGCATAACCTCGGACTGTTGTGGAGGGGAGAGTGTCATTCCCCAGGCAGCTTCCTTCCCCACAAAATCCCCCATTAACCAGCAAAATCCTCGGGCCCCTTCACTTGGTACGGACTTTCGCGCCCAAGGCGCTCGCAGATCCTGGGACCGGCCCACAGCAGAAAGGAACCCGCTTCCTCCCTGGCCCAAGTCGAACCCTCCTCAGACTCTTCTTCCAACTTGGCTCTGACGACCAGAGCGCGGGCCCGGGGACCCTGAAGCAGAGACTGACCCAGAGCCAGGTCCCGTGGCCCTGAGACTCTAGCCCGGCCTGTGCAACTGCCCCAGGCCCTAACCCGGCCCTTTGGTATCCTTGGCTTCCTTCGATCCCTCAGGGAGAAACGGTGACTGACCTCCGGAGAGGGACACACTTCGGTGGGCGGAGGGGGAAACCTCTAGGTGTTTATTTGAAACAGGAAGTCCCACCCCCCTCCCAAGTTCCGCCTTCTGGAAGACTGCAAGCACTAATTAGCTAAAGCCGACGTCTTTCTCAACAGGGGTTTTCCTGATTGGACAGCAAAGTATTCGCTCACCCGGAGCCGGGCCGGCAGGACTTGCCCGCTCGCCCCTGGTTCCCTTCCCCCAGCCCGTCGTCGCCCCCGTAGAGCGGCTGCCCCGAAGCTGACAGGAAGCCAGACCCCCTCTTAGAGCGAATCTTACCTCCTCTCTGCCTCCTGCCGCCGCCGCCACTGCCACAATCTCCCGGGCCGTCACAGCCTCCTCACCGGGCGCTGAAGCCGCCGAAACCCGACCAAAGGCGAGAAGCCGCCACGTCACCCACACGTAACCCCACCCCCGGTGACGAGAGGCGGTGCCACGCCTTTTGGAGCCTGGCGACCCGAGAGACACGCCCCCTACCAGACGCTAGAGCGATCCCGTCCTCCCATTGGCTACACCGGAACCGTGACCCCGCCCCTGAGGTACTGCAGCCGGAGCCCTGGGGGTTGGGCCCGCCTCGGGGGAGGAACCTTAAAGAGCCCGCCGCCGTGTCGTGTCCGCGCCCAGAACGCCCGGAGCGGGCAGCAGAGGCACAAGTTCTCCTGCAGGTCCACGTTAGAAATTTTATTCTCTGGAGGCTGGGGCGGACTGAGAGCAGGGATGGGGTCACCCTTTCTCCACCTCCTCCCGGGTCTCCTCCTAGTTATTCTCTTGGATCGGACTCTCCCTATGGACCTGCTCTGACTGCCTCTTGTTTGATGGCCACGTGGAGCCCCGACGACTGAACATGGATAGTCGCCGCCACAGTACGGTGATCAGGTTTTCGTTCGACTTAGACCTCTGATGCCGGTGGCCCGGGGAGTCCAAGTCCATATCTCCCGCGCCTAAGGGGACGACGAGGCTGCTTAGCTCAGCTCTCCCTTACCACCTATTCCCATCCAACCTCCTGGGTGGTCCCCTCGAGCATCCCCCTCACCCTCTCCCCGGGCCCTCTGTCTGTCCATGGTCCCACCGTCCTCAGAGTCACCGTCCTTGCCCTGTTCATCGAAGGTCTCAAAGTCCTTGTCTTGGCAGCAGCCCATGGCCCTCCACAGCCCCAGACTCTGTGCTACCCACGCCAGCCTGCCTGGCTCCAGGCCGGGCTTTTGTGACGTCAGCTATCCTGCCGCCTCAGCTCAGGGAGCCCCCACCCCAAGGTACCCCTCTTTCCTTTCTCCCATCACAAAAGGCTCAGAGTCATGATGGGTGTTTAGCTGTTTATTTACAAAGTGGGCATAGGGGCTTCAGGGGCTGGTGGACCCAGGCCGCTTCTTTCTCCTTTTGGTTTGGAGGGCCCCTTGGGTCTGCTTCAAATCAGGGAGCTTCCGCTTGGCAGCTGCCTCCAAGGACGCCCAAAGTTCATCTGTCTCTGTGTCTTCCGAGCGCACCTTGTTGGGCTCTTGAGGTTCTTGGGGCTCATCCTGGCGAGGGGGAAGAAAGCTTAGGAGTCGAGGGCACAGTTCCTCTGACATTCCAGAGTGAAGGAGACCCTAGCTGAAAAACAACCCCTCTGTGTACCACCATCTTTACTCCCTGCTCCCAGCAACCATTCCCATCCGTGCTCTTAGGTGTGTCACCCTTGGCAATAACCCTGTCAAGATTTTAACTGTTAACACCCCTCAGAGAAATTAAGTAACCTGGCAGGTAAATAGATAGCCCCAGGTCTGTGTTCCAGTTGTTCCAGCTGCCTCCTTTTTCTCTCCACAGGGAAATCTTCACATCTATGCCCTTGCCTCCCACACTCCCAGGCCAACTGCTCACCTCCCAGTTATCCCTGCCTGACAGGAGGACGCAGTTCAGCTGCGACTTGAGATAAACCTGCAAAAGATGAGAGGCCTTAGGGAGCACAGGCATGCTGAGATAGAAACATCAATGGGGGGACACAGAGTAGAGGGGTCCACAAGACCATGAGTTAGGCAGAGGGGGTGAGGTCCAGAGGGTTGGGCTCTCACCTTATGCTCCAGGCCCCGTGGATTCTGGATCCTGTGTACCCTCAAGACTCTGTCCAAGCCACAGGAGGCCAGTAGGGGCTTTGAAGGGTGGCACTGCAACCCACGAACACTGCCTGCCAGTCCCTTCAGACAGCCCAGTAGGCGCCCTGGAGAAGGGGGAGGTCTCAGTGCTAGCTGACCGCCAGCAACCATTATTGAGTGTTTTGTGTTCCAGTCACTTTACATTTCAACATTTAGTCCTCAACATAACCCTGAGACTGAAGTTAACACTAGTATTTCCACTTTACAGGTGAGAAAACTAAGGCACAGGGAGTTAAAATAATTAGTCCAAGGTTATACAGCTTTGAAGAAACCAGGATTTGAACCCAGGCAATCTGGCTCCTAAATGAGGGCTCACTGGCTCCACTGCACTGCCTCCAAGGGAATCCTGCCTTTCCACCCTCCCCCCTCCCCTCCCCAAACCCCTAGTCCACTCACCTTGCCGGAAGTCAATTTCTGCCAGCTGCCCGTGCGTGTTCCCCACGATCACTGAACTGAGGTGGAAACCAGAGGCAGTACGGTCAGCAGGAACCTCCCAGAGCCCTTCCTGAACCCCACCCTCCCACATCTTCCCCTCTAAACACTCACTTGCCCCCAGGAGTGAGGGTCATGGCTGTCAGTGGGTAGTCTCCATAGTTGGTCTCTAGGACTGGCCGGCGCTGGGGGGAGGCTGGGTCATAGACCCGGACCTAGAGGAAGACTGAGGCATCACAAGAGTATCTTCACCTTGCACCACCCTCTGGCATCTCTGTATCTTCACCCTTTCCTCTCGATACTGCTTTCTTGCTTATGACCCACTCTCAGAAAAACTTTCTCATTTGAAATGTATGCCTCTTATCCGAGTGTTGGGGTGTGGGGAAGAGCTGCTTCCCCGCACGAATGGACAGAGCTGAGAGGAGAGGTCCTGCAGGCTTGGGGTGTGAACATTTCATCCCCCAGTACTCCCACGTAGGGGGGAGTGGAGGAATGGAAAAGCAAGCAAGTCCAGTAATTAGTGGGTGCTGAATTTCAAGCAGAGAGTTTAGCCTGAGAGAGGGAGGAGAGGAGATGCCTTCATATGTGTTTTGAGCAGAGTATATCACCAATATCAGACTTCAATGTGCAGAAGCAAAGGAAACAGGGCAAATACAGTGTTTCAGCCCTGCCTGTGTCTCAGGACTTCAAATGAGGCAAACCATAAAGATCCCCTTCATGTAAAGCTGAGGAGCTGAGGCTAGAGATGGGAGGGTCAGGCCTGAGTCCCGAAGCAAATCAGAGAGGCTGCATTAGGACCAGAACACAGTTCTCTTGACACCCAGCCCAGTGTCCTCTCACGAAACCTGTACCCTGTGGCTCTCACTGTGAAGGGGACACACTCCCTTCTCTCCTCTCTTCCAGGTGGGAGGAAAAGGAAACCCCATAATTTAGGAAACTCTACCCTTGAATACAGTAAAGGAGGGTCACAGGCTCAGCGACGGGGCTGGAACAGATGGACAAGCGCTTGCTCCTCTGAGAGCTCAGGATGGTGAGAAGGACAGCTATGCTACGCCATGGGCCCGTTCTGCACAGGCAGGCTGTTTCTCTAGGAGGCTGCTTTAGTCCAAGAGGAGGTAGGGATGAGGTAGTGCCTCACCTGGTGGTACCCTGTGCAGGTTACAAGCTTCTGTGACCCAGGGAGGAAATGTATGTCTTGGTCCCAGATGGGAACCCGCAGGTCCAGCCAGTCATTCCGCACCTGGGGGGATGGGTGGGTGGATGGGGGACAGGGTTGTTGGGGGCTCAGTGTGCCCCTCCCTTCAGCTCCTTCATCACCCTCTAAAGACCATCTGGTCTCTGGCTCGTAGTGGCCTCGGCCTCCCTCAACCTCAGATTCAGCCCCTCCACACCCAGAACTCACATTCTTGGCTCTGAACACAGGTTCCTCAGACCCCTGTAGGTCCCACACCTTCAAGGCGTTCTCCTTTCCACCTGTGGCAACCACATGGGGGTGTGCTGGGTCTTGGCGCATCCTACACACCCCAGGGCCCACCCTTAGTTCCAGGAGCTGAAAAGAATGGAGATGAGAGTTAGTTCCAGGGTCCTTAATCCTCCTTCCTGCAAAGCCTGCATTAGGCTTCTACCCTGAAGCTACATTCCTCAACAATCAGGGCAGGGGAGCCTTACTGGGTCAGAGGATGCCTCCTTGTCATCTTCACGCCAGACTCTGAGAATCCCAGAATCCACACATGTGATGAGGGTGCTACAGGCAAAGGGAGGATAGAGTTGCGGTTGAAAAAATAAGTCAGTAGTGGGTTATTAACACTTATTAACATTAGTGTCACTAAAGTTGGCATGCACGCCCCAACTGCTAAATTTGACTGGCTTAAAAAAAAAAAGTGTAAGGCCGGTGGCTCATGCCTGTAATCCTAGCACTCTGGGAGGCCGAGGTGGGCGGACTGCTCAAGGTCAGGAGTTTGAGACCAGCCTGAGCAAGAGCAAGACCCCGTCTCTACTAAAAATAGAAACAAATTATCTGGACAACTAAAAATATATATATAGAAAAAATTAGCCGGGCATGGTGGCGCATGTCTGTAGTCCCAGCTACTCGGGAGGCTGAGGCAGTAGGATTGCTTGAGCCCAGGAGTGTGAGGTTGCTGTGAGCTAGGCTGACGCCATGGCACTCACTCTAGCCAGGGCAACAGAGTGAGACTCTGTCTCAAAAAAAAAAAAAAAAAAAAAGTGTAAAAGTGTTTTCTAGGCCCCAGCCAACATACCCGCAAACTAATATTAACTGAACTCTCTCCCAATTTAGAAGAAAGGTAACTGGGATCTAGGCAGGGCTTGACAGCTGCCAGCTTCCCTGTTTGTTAACTCGATTTACTAAACAGGATAAGGGTTTACCAGTTTTATAAGTGAGGAAACTGAAGCTCTGAGAAATTAAAAGATTCACCACTCAGCCGTAAAGGTTAGAACCAGAGCTGGAAACCAAGTCTGTGACACTCCAAAGCAGAGTGCTTTTGCTATTCCACAGCTACGTCTGGGGGCACCTGGGTCTCTTGGTCTTTCTGAATCTTGAGTTGGTTCCCAGGGGTCAGGATCAGCAGTTCTTGAAAGGATTGAAATGGAACTGGTCTGGATTTAGGGTTTGGCCAAAGTCAAACACCATCTTCTTCTCTTGAGTTCCCTGTTCTGGGTTTCAGGCACTAAATGTCAGTCTTTCCCTTAAAACACACCTCTCAAGAACTCCAAGTGAGTCTCTCCCAGGATCTGCTCAGCCTGGGCCTGTGTTCTTTCTTACACCTGTCTAGTCTCCCCAACTGGCTTCAGGCTCTGTATCGCTCGCCTGGGGTGTGGCAACAGTCTCGCAGTTGCCCTGTCTCCAGTCCATCCTCCATACTCCTACAAGTTCGCAACTCTGACCAGGCACTTTCTGCTCAAAAACTAGTAACTCCCCACCATCTATAAAACAGAAGTGCAAATCTCTCAACCTTTACATTTAATCTCAACCTAATACAATGCCCATCTTGTATTAAAATGCTTCCTTGGTGTCAACCTCCAAATGCTATTTATCCTACTTACGTACTCTGTAGCCTCTGCTCCGGCAGTACCCTCTTTCGAGAATGCCCTCATCCCTTTCTCCACCTGTCAAAATTCTACCCATCCTTCAAGACCCAGTTCAAGCATTCCATCCCCCAGAGTGTCTTTTCAGACTTTACCTGTCAGAATTAATTACCACCAACCAATACAGCCTATCCACAGCCTTCTTCCTTCATCTTCTGAAGAAAGCTGGGCCAGTAACCTAACCACTAGCAACTTCCTATTTTTCACTTTGGGAGCTTCATCACCTTGATGGTGGTTGCTAGTTCCCATCTGAAAGCGTAATCAAAACCATTAAATGACTTGCTCAGGATTACTCGGAGGGTTATAAAAGAGGCAGGAGAAAAACTCTAGAGGATGCAAACTTTTCGAAGACAGAAACTTCACCTGCAGTCCCCGCACTTGGCCCAGTGCCTGGAACTCAGCAGGTGTTGTTCGATAATTGTGTGTTAAAGGTAAGAACTAACGAAGGCAGAAACTCAGGTCCCTGTCACCCATCTCAGGCCGCGTCATCTAAGGGTTTGTCGCCATTATTCCGTTATCCTCAGGGAACCTCAACGCTCTGCCACTGCCTGAGCATTCAGCAAGAGGGATCGGTCTTACCCGTCCGCCTGGGCGAGGCCCCGGAACGTGCCTTCCCCGCCGGGACAGTGCCTCTGACCCTGGAATATGCCCTCCTCAGTGCTGAAGTGCTTCACTGTTCTGTCTGCGCAGCCCACCAGAATCTGCAGGCAGAGCAAGGCGGGATGGCGAGAGGGCGAGGCTGCGGCGCCCCGGGCCCCGAGCTGAGGCCCGGCCAATGGCCACTCACCTGGGTCTCGCCGCCTGCGCCCCAACACAGGGCGCTCACCGCCTCCTCGCGCCGCGGCTGTCCCGCCGCCGTGAAGTTCACGGCTTGTTTTCGTTGAAGGTTCACCCCTGCGGGTCGAGGGCGTCAGACGCGCCAGGGTAGCGAGCGGAAGACCCCCGCACGCCCCGCCGCCCGACACAGTCGACGCCAGACCGCGCCACCCACCTTTCAGGATCCCAGTCTCGGTGCCGACCCACACGTGGTTCCAACGCGCTGCAGCAGACGCCATGACAGAACCCGGGAGCTGACGGCTCGCACTTCCGGCGCAGCGTGTGCGTCACCAGCGAGCCGATCCGATCCACGCAGTCGCTGGAAGTTTAAAATGCCGGAAGAGTGAAGTTACCCTACTTGACCCACTTTGTTTTGCTTCACGAATACTAAATCGGGAGATGCTTGTTTATGGAGATCTGAAGAATAAATTGATCATTTTGCACTTGGAGTGGAACGCATCCTTCCTGAACCGCGATGCCGGATGGAGCCAACCCTGGTCTGTCTCCCTGCTCCATTATGTAATGTCATGTAATGTTTTCTTTCTTTTTTTTTTTTTTTCATTTGAGCCTGACCCTCACTCTGTGGCCCAGGCTAGGGTGCCATGGCGTCAGCCTAGCTCACAGCAACCTCAAACTGCGGGGCTCAAGCGATCCTCCTGCCTCAGCCTCCCGAGTAGCTGGGACTACAGGCACCCACCACCACACCCGGCTAATTTTTTCTATTTTTGGTAGAGACGGGGTCTCGCTCTTGCTGAGGCTGGTCTCAAACTCCTGAGCTCAAGCGATCCTCCCACTTCGGCCTCCCAGAGTGCTAGGATTACAGGCGTGAGCCACCCGCACCCGGCCTCATGTAATGTGTTCTATACTATGAGGCAAGAAAAGAGCCCACTTCAGGAACGATTCAAATCATTAATGAGGTCTATGGCTTCATTCTGGAGTGTCAAAGTTACAAAACAAAGATGGGAAAATGCAACTGACGATCTTAAAACACAGCTCTGTTTTGGAAAGTGGGGTTAGGGGTGTCGTTTTTTATTACCTCGCACTGAGGCTTCACGATGGTAAAAACTTAGCTCAAACTTAGTAAAGATCTGTAAAATTAACACAAAACAATATTTCTCCCAAGGACAAGTTGCAGTGACAACTGCTTTCTTCCTGAGAAACTTTGTTCAAACTTTACTGTTTGAAATTATGTCGGTAAGAATGAAGCAACTTTGGCGGATCTGGCCTCCACAGAGAAGCAGCCTTGATTCAGCTGCAGAGCTTGAGATAAGGATTATCTGAGCATA